CTGGAGGCTCCCTCCGCCTCACCTGCAAGGCTTCTGGATTCACCTTTAATGACTATGAAATGCACTGGATCCCCCAGGCTCCAGGGAAAGGGCTGGAGTGGGTGGCGAGAGTGAGCAATCCTACGGGAAGCAAACAGTGGTACAACTCCAAGGTCGAGGGAAGGTTCACCATCTCCAGAGACAACGCACAGACTTCAGCTTATCTGCAGATGAACGCCTTGAAGCCTGAAGACTCTGCCTTGTATTACTGCACAAGAGGCACAGTGGCAGCTTCTGGTTTCCTCTTTCTACAAAAACCCCAGAGACCTTCTGGCACAGAAATGGAGATGCAGGAGAAATACAGATTGCCAGGACCACACAGAGAAACATGAACCAGGTTTGTAATAAATAGACAGAGAGAGAGAGAGGGACAGACAGACAGACAGAAAGAGCACAATTGTAACCATGTTGCTATGTTGTCAGGTATACATGAACCAACAGACAATGTATGAGTGGATCCAATCTTGATCTGCCCTTTTGCCTGTTACATGACTGTAGATATGATTTGCTGAATTAATCGTTTGCAACTATCTCACTTATCCCTGTGGATTAGGAGTGTGAAAAATGAAATCCATCCAAACAAATTGTCAGGATGCTACTGTAATTGCACAAGCATGTGTCCTGTATGCATGGATTTAGTCTGGTCTTCTTTCAGAAACGATTTCAAGGGTGATCTAAGATTTTCCACTGGGCACAATGAGGAGAGTTGGAGAGCACCCATCCACCTCCCTCCCTCCCTCCCTCCCTCCCTCTCTCTCTCTCTTTCTTCCTTTTTCTCCTGTACACACATATACACACACGCAAATGTGTGAGAACATACAGAAGCAAAGAGCAAGAAGGAGCAGGAGACAACAATCCAGATAACATGAAGGGAGCACCAGTGGCGAGAAGGGGTCAAAGTGGAAGCAAAGCTAACAGTTCCCTCCAGAGGAAACAGGGTCATACACCAGACCCTGCTGCCTCCATCACCCTTAACTTAGAGCTCGAAAGTATTCTATTAACTCACTAATGAATGTGAATTCTCCTTTGGATCTGTAATGATTCAATGGGACCAACATGGAAAAACTGGTGGTCTGAAACAGGGAGAGGGAAAGAGGCTGAGACTGGAAGAGCAAAGAGCAAGAAGGAGTGCGAGGCAACCATCCAAATCACATGAAATGGTGAGAAGTTGAAATGTAAAAACAATCTAACAATTACCTCTGGAGGAAACTGTGTCATAAACCAGATCTGATACTTCTGAGCCCCTCTCCAGAGCTTCTCAGTCATTAATTCATTCATTCATTCATTCATTCATTCATTCATTCATTCATTTTACTGCCTTCTCCTTTGGCTGTGTCAAGCTCTGACTGANGAGTGGGAGGCAACCATCCAAATCACATGAAATGGTGAGAAGTTGAATTGTAAAAAATATATAACAATTACCTCTGGAGAAAACTGTGTCATAAACCAGATCTGATACTTCTGAGCTCCTCTCCAGAGCAATTCAGTCATTAATTAATTAATTAATTAATTGATATTACTGTTTTCTCCTTTGGCTGTGTCAAGCTCTGACTGAAGCACCACCAAAAAGGCAGGTGATCTGAAGCAGGAAGAGGGAGGGAGGTTGAGAGTGCAGAGGAGAGCTTGAGTGGAACAGAAAAAATACGAGGGGAATGGATCCTAGTGGTGGGGACATGAAAGCTGAAGAAAAGCAGCTCTTCCCCTTGAGCTCAGCTCTGTGGATGGTGGGGAGCAAAGGACAAGAAAAGCCACCTCAGGCGTCCTGTTTTGGGAGGAGAGGCAATGAGTGAAGGTGCTGGGAACTGCATTTGTGTGTGTGTGTGTGTGTGTGTGTGGCAAATAGCTCCCTCCACAACTTAATGAGTGGAATTCCTAGCAGACTCCTGGATGGAGAATGGAGCCTCACCCATGTTTTTACTCCATGGCTGCTCCCCCTCAGCCCAAAAGGGGGCAGAAGGCTCACACACACAACGTGAAATGCGTTTATTCCAGAAGGACATGTCTAAAATTGGCACCCACGTGTGCTCGCCTGCGGCTTCAACTGTCCCAGGAAGTTTTCCTGCAGTGGTTTGCTGGCTCACTTCATCTGTTCCTCAGTCATTTCAATCCCCAAGATGCTTCCATCTGATCCTCTCTGAAGCATTGAGGGGAAACTGAGAGAACGCTGAAGGGAGCGACCAGAGAAAATCACAGAGGATCCTGGGTGGAGAAAGAAGAAAGGTGGGATCAGCAGAGTACCGATGCTCCAGCTATGTCTCTGGTTAGCGCACTGCGGTTCGAGGCAAACTGTTGAGAAAGAGAGAGTGCTCATGGCGTGTCTCTGAAGGAGAGCAAGTCAGCGCCAGAGAATGAGGAAGAAGAGCTTCTCTGGACCTCTGGTGGGGCACAGGAGTTGCCTGCCAGGACTCTCTGCCCAGGGTGTTGGGCATGGGGCAGGAAAGGCTCTTTTATCAACCAAAGGAAGCAATGGGTCAAGGCGCCCAGCACACATGCTGCTGAAGACCTGTTGTGGGGCAGTGAGATCTGCGTCTGCATATGATGTGGGGGCAGCCCTACAAGCAAGTTGTGAAGTTTGAAGATCATTTCTCAGCTCAAGCCAAGAGCTCCCCTAACAGAGACTTCAAATAAAGCCAGGCAGGGATGGCCCAGTTACACTCCTTCGTGGCGCCATCATTTCATAAAATGATGTGTAGCTGTACTATTGCAACCAAGCTTCCCTCCAACCATGTCTTCCCCTGCAGCCAGGCCTCTGCATTTATCCTGATGCATGTGCAAATGTTCAGGGGCAGTTTCATCTTTAAATCTGGCACCAGCCTGTGCACCTGAGGCATACTTCAATCAACACTTTTAGGCCATTTGAGGCGAAGTTGAGGGTTTTCCTTCAATTTGTCTTATTTTCGGCAGTTCATGGAGGTACATTTCCTCTTTCACCAAAATTGATATTCAGCATGCCAGGTTCGGCATTGCTTTAATGTTCCCCCTCTTGTATAAAATTCTTGTTCTCCAGGGGTCCAATCTAAGGTTCAACCGGTGGAGTCCGGTGGAGATGTCAAACAGCCTGGGGAATCCCTCCACCTCTCCTGTTGGGCCTCTGGCTTCACCTTCAGCAGCTCCTGGATGACCTGGGTACACCAGGCTCCAGGGCAGGGATTAGATTGGGTTGGAAAAATAAAGTATGATTCCAGAGTGATACAGTTTTTGGCCAAGGTGAAAGGGCGCTTCATGATCTCCAGAGACATCCCCTCCAGCATGCTGTACCTTCCAATGAGCGACCTGAAGGCAGAGGACACGGCAATATATTACTGGGCATGAGGCACAGAGGGAGGAAGCAAATGTGCAGCCAGGCAAAAACCCTCCTCTGGACTCAGTGGCAGAGTCAGAGCAGTATCCCAGCATAGAAATGAAGGAGTAGCTTCTGAAGTCAATGAGAGCTCCATTCACCCAGCTGAACATGTGGTGTAGGAGTTCTCCCCATATTCCTCCCATCTATTTAATGGCCTCCAACTCCTTTCTGCAGATCAAAGTGTAAGTAGAAGAACGCAGGTGAGGCAGTCCGAATGAGATCAAGCCCCATGTGCTCCCAACTTCTTTTCTCAAAGATCACCTTTCTCTCAAAACCGTCAAGGCAGCATGATCTGTGGCAGAATATACCTTGGAAATTGACAGTGTAGTTGAACATGAGTGAGTGGAAAGGAGCTGCCGCTTCTGCTGGATGAGTGGTTTTCCCTGCCAGTCTCTCACTCCATGACTGGAGTCCATTCTGGCTCTCCTCCATCAGCCCAAAGGGGGCAGCAAGCACACACTCATGATGAATGTCGAATGCCTTCATCCATGCACGATGGGATATAAATACATGATTCAAAGAGTCATCCATGAGTGACCTTCTGGGACTTCAGCTGCCTCCATGAACGCTCCTTGTGCTTGTTTGCTTGCCAACTGCTCCTGCCCCTCCGTCCTGTCAGTCCCCTGAGACACCTGCCATGATGCATTGTGGACTGTCAAGGGAAGAGTGAAAGGGAGGGAGCAACAAATACTTCCAAGTGATGTAAGCAAAGGATCAGAGAAAGAGAGACCAGGAGGGGGCCAGAAGGCCATCTGCTCCAACATTCCGCTCAGTGAGGGACACCAAGTTCAACCTTCCCTGTGGACAACCATCTTGTTGTGAAGCAAGGAAAGCTGAGAGCAAGACAAAGGACTGTCAGCAAGGCCTTACCCTCGTTAGGCAGATGCTATTAGAACCAAGAGGCTTGGGTTGAAATGGGGGTGTCCAGGGGGTGTCCGAACAGGAGCTCAGAGGAACGAACGAGATTATGTGCAGTAAATTCATGATGAAGAGCATGGTCGGGAGGGCCCGTAGCTAGGGCAAGGGGGCTGGAGGAGGCAAGAGAGTTGTGCGGGCAAAACCCATCAAGAACAAAGCTGAGAAATTCCACAATTGTGGGGCAGAAAGAACCAGCCTCAGGGGCATTTGGCAATGGAGTTGCGTTGCCACGACCATGGTTGTATCTGGCCATAGATTTTGGAGGGCAAACCCCTGAGCTTTTATCCTGACGCATATGCAAATCTCCTGTGGCTGCTCCCTCTTTAAATCCTCCAGCCACACTCTCCGTCCACTGTGCACCTCCACGCACTTAGCTGTCAGTTCTTTCAAACTAGTATAAGTAAAAATGATAATTTTGCTTCAGCTGGCTTTACTTACTGCAGGCCTTGGAGGTACTATTTTTTCCTCAAAAAGCGTTTGCTGCATGAAAGGTTTTTTTGTACCCTCCAGATCAATGTCAAATTTTTTTCCTTGTAGGTGTGCAGTCAGAGGTGCAACTGGTCGAGTCTGGAGGGGATGTAAAACGGCCGGGAGAGTCCCTGCTCCTCTCCTGTCGAGCCTCCGGCTTCACCTTCAGCAGCTACTACATGGCCTGGGTGCGCCAGGCTCCAGGGAAGGGCCTGGAGTGGGTTGCCTATATAACCGACAGTGGGGGCAGCACATACTATGCGGACAAGGTGAAGGGGCGCTTCACCATCTCCAGAGACAACCCCTCCAACATGCTGTTCCTGCAAATGAGCAACCTGAATGCTGAAGACATGGCCGTGTATTACTGTGCAAGAGACACAGTGGGAGGAAGTGAATGTGCAGCCGGGCAAAAACCCCTCTGTGCTCCTGGGGCCTTCCCTGGTGTTTCCCTGCCGCAGCCTGACTGCAGCAAGGGGCTGCCGGGCCAGTGTTTGGAACCCGG